CCCCCCCCCCCCCCCCCCTGCAGTCTCACAACTCCGAACAGTCGTGCTCCTGCTGCAAAAGGGCAAGTTGAAGCTCTTCTCTGCAATTCGGTAGGAATCTGAAATGTTTTCTCTCATTTCTTCTCGTTGAAAGAGCTGATGCGATCTGTACATGATGAACGACGGTAAGTAATGGAGTTGGCAGTTTTTCCTTTTTTTCTTTTTGGGTTTTCAATGGAGTTCATATTTTTCCTGATGTCGACGTGAATTTCTGCTTATTGATTGAGGAAGTTTAGCGGAATGTGATTTTAACTAGTATCAGAAGTGTTTGCCGCCAAATGTAAACGTTGTACGGTGGAAGGTTATTGGGGATGATTGGTCCGCGTTTGATGAAGAGCTAGATCATATTTCAGTTCTAGTAACATAACCTGAGCTGTTTCGTGTTGATTCAGTGTAGAGGCGGCTGTGAGTTGTTGATGAAGTCACGTGTTTATCTAAAATCAACCCTTAAGCTACTGGGAATGGGCTTGTATTTGAATTAAAATAAAGGATTTTAAGAAACTTGAAAGAAACGGTGTTGCTCTTTATGTTAATTTAAGGCAATATATTTCCAGCAGCTTCGTTAAGTCCTACTTCTTTTTTATATATATATTTTTTCTTGCGTAGAATAATTAAGCATTTGGAAACTTTGATCCGTTGGACTTTAGTTTCTTGCGTGTACTTCGATCGTAGTACATGTCTATCATCCGCAAAATAACTACAGAAGATTAGAGAAGTTTTCTTTCTTCTTATCGAGCATGTGTCTGATGAGATTCATAATACGAAGGAAAACGTTGTCTGCACAACTAATGTAGCCCAGTTAACTTAGAAAATTCATCTCAAGCATGATCTCCGAACTCGTGTCGGGCTTTACATTTTTGGCACTACATTCAAGCTAACTTGGGAACTGAACTGAAATTTGAAAGCCTTTTCTTATCATCGTCTCAGGATATGATGTTAGTGACCTTTATCGAGAAGCACAAACACGTTGGCTGAAGCCTCCTGAGGTGCTCTTTATCTTACAGAATCATGAGAAATATCAGCTGACTGAGGAGGCCCCTAAACAGCCAACTAGTAAGTAACCCTTATTCACTATTATGTTTTATACCGTTTGGATAATTATTGAACAATAGAGTTGCAACAGGTGGTTCCTTGTTTCTTTTTAACAAGAGAGTACTCCGTTTCTTCCGTAGAGATGGTCATAACTGGAGGAAAAAAAGGGACGGAAGAACTGTAGGAGAAGCACACGAACGACTTAAGGTTTTGTATCATGCTTCCACTCCATTTAACTCATTTTCCTATTAACTTTTCCATCTGCTGCAATAATATACCACGGCATGGTTTTTGAGTTTGTTTGCCCTCCTTAATCGAAAGGATAGATTTTGCTTAGAAGAGACAAAAAAAAAAAAAAAAGGGCGGGTGTAGTGTGGTGGGGAGAAGCCATCCTAAATGAGTTTTCTAACAATGGTGCTAACTGAAAAATAATCATAAAAATTAAGGGAGCATTTAACTCGCTTGTTATATTTATGTAAAATTGAGCCAAATGTTTGATATGTGAGTCAGCTAACTATCGCACACACGCACATACCCTTCAACCCTCCACTACCTATGCGTATGGGTGGAATATGCTGTAATGCCTACACTTGTTAGTGTTTTTAGCATTAAAATTTTGAAAACTTTGCATGCAAACTGCAAAATATAAGATCTGGCAATCATTGAAATAAGTAGAGTAAACGAAATGATGGCCAGGACTGCATGTCTGCATGGAACATACTATGGTAACATAGTTTTGATTCCAGGACTAATGAAACGCTGCAATGGCGATGCCCAAGAAATTGAGCGCTAGAAAATAAACTTTAAGTTGTAATTTCAAGCTGGTTAGAGTTGTCGTATGGGGAAAATATTATAAGCCTTGGATGTGGTTAGTTCAACATCAACTTTACTGGATTTCATGCTATAGGCAACTAAAACTTATTCAATGGCTTATGTGATATAAATTTTCCATCACCTCGAGTGCTATACTACCCAACCCACTGATCTGTCTGCTTTAGATCTTTTGAGATCAACAAAGTTTTCTTACTGATTGGTCTGGTCGTGATTATTCTGCACGGTTAGGTTGGAAATGCTGAAGCGTTAAATTGCTATTATGCACATGGAGAGCACAATCCCAATTTCCAGAGACGTAGCTATTGGATGCTGGATCAGTGAGTGTTCCTTTTACATTATAGAATGCACTCATGTGATTCTGTTTTAAAGCCTACTCTCTACCTCTTGACTTAACCATCTGCTCGTTGTATCCTATAAAGCCTAAACACTTCAATTCTATTAATTTGTTTGCATATGCTACTAAATACTCCCACACGTACAATTGGTTGGACACTCAAACCAAGGTTTTTATATTTCTTTTACAATTTCTATTTATTTTTTTGATATAGCACATGAACATAACCAGAATTTACTCAAGAGCAATAAATTTTGTACGGAAAACTCATTTTTCTTGTTTTTTTTAACG